TTGCATTGCACATTATTCATTCCATAGCACCGTGCTGCAAATTTCTCATTTGTTTCAAGTGTCTTGAGCATTAATAAACTCTCAAGGAGTTCATTGTCTCTCTCTCCCCTTGCCCCATACCACACACAGACACCCAGACATAGCAGAATGTCTGCGGGTGAAGCAGAGGTTGAGCAATATGAACTGTCAAATGTAAAGATGGATTTCTGGTACTTCCGAAATCGGCTGCAAAGATTGTCTTAGCCATACTGATACCTAACATGTTTTCAATGGATCTATCTACCCTACTTTCATCCTGTATCAAGATGTTGTCATTGTCATTACTCTGACATAAAAATAAGAATTAGGTGTGATCATTTTCACCGTGAACAGCTTCATTCCCTGCTGTTTTAACCCTTGTCACCAAAATATTTTCTGTAATCTAACTAAATCCCATGAGAGCCCTGTAATATCACAAAACCTCACATTTACACTGAGTGAAATAAGCATACAAAAGGTTTATGTAAGTTTAAAACTGCAGAACTCAAGATGCAGTGTATCCTGGGTTGAAATCACCAAGTGCTGGCTAGACTAATGTTGCAACCCTAGACACACTTACCTGGAGCTTACTTCTGAGTCGATATGTATGGAATTGCATTGGGTTTTGTAATCTTAAGATCCTGAACTCCATCCTGAATCTTATCCATTAGCAAAACCAAATGCACAAAATCACCCAGTACAATCATTTATAAAGTAGACTAAGTCTGGTACCCAAAGATTCAGAACTGGAAGCAGAAGTCAAAATTCCTCAACCACCTTTCATTTGCCATTACTGGCCCCCTTGTTTTGATGGGATACAGGATAAAAGATAAACCCCAAGCAAGCCTTTCAAAGACAACTGAATCTCAGTATAACATGCAGTATAAAATTTCCACTTAGCCAGAAGTTTACCACTGTTGCATCCCAATGACCAGAAAGGCAACAATTTCTGATCTGCTCGGCCCTTTGCATACCCTCAGGTAATAATAAAAACAGAGTGTCCAAAGTCACGGAGTAAGAAGTCCATCTCATGCTATCATTTTTGTTACAAGAGTTATTTCTGGAAGTGCTCTGGTGAACTGACTTTATGATGTGAGAAACCTCATGTAATTATACATTTTTCCCTGCTAACTTTAGGAAAATCCTGAACTGTCCAAGGAGGTGCAGAAATTACTCTTTAGGATTCTGTACCCACCATATTAACAAATTAAAATTTTGCACAGAAGCATAACTGTTCAAGTCAAACATATCTGACCTTTATCCAAAATAGTTTCTCCCCAGAGTTAGCATTCTAGCATGTATCTTTTGTTGTGAGCTGCCCCAAGTCTTTGTTGTGATGGGGGCGGCATAGAAATGTTTTAAATAAATACATAAAATGTATCTGTCAGTCCAAAAATGTTGGTGGGTTTTTTTCCCCCCAAATATTTCCAACTCCATTTATACTTTAAAAGTTAGATTTTGGCTTCCTGTCTGCCTAGACTGAACTGTTTATGGCTGCCTTGCTAGCCCCTTAATAGTGATGGTTACCAGTGGGGGGAAAACATAAAGATGTCTGAAGTACTTTGGCTCTAAGCAAATTCTGTTATAATCTAAAAGTTGGGGTTGGGGGGTTGTTTAATAATCCCCATATATCTCCATTAAAAAGTCAGGGCTAAAATTAAATGTGAAATATAGGCTTTGAAATCCAACATGAATGACAAGAAGGAGAAATTCTTAAAACAGTTCAATTTGAGGATATGGCCTACTTCATGCTTGGTGTTTCCCTACACGGAAATAGTATTACTGTGTTATTATTTATGGAATGTTACCTTTCCATTGTGCTAAAGAAAGGTCAGTGAAGCTTACAAGGTTTAAAAGCAATTCCAAAAGACATAACATAATTCAGTGAAAACAAAAACAAACAGTTCCAAAAAAATGATCAAGCAGGGAGCTCAGAAAATCAATCATAAGGCCTGGAAAATATTTGCACAAAATGAAACAAGATAACCTCTGTGTTTGACAAAAAGACTGTTCTAGTAACAACTACATACTGCCCCTGGTAATCTTAAACACTTCCGTTCTAAAGGAAACGAATTTGTTGAATAATGATACTAACACATGCTTACATTGTCTATGGAAGGGACCTTGTTCTGAGGCAACAATTGTCTGAATGGCACATAGAAGATAGCCGGGTTTGACCACTGACAGCTTCAAGTAAGGCTGGGCAAGATTCCTGCCGAGACCCTGGACAGTCAGGGATGAACAGAGTTTGGGCTCGGGGGATCTAATTTGTTCTTATTTTTTACCAGAAACCTGAAATCCAACAACTAGGACCAGGTGCACAATAGTGGCTAAGCAGCAAAGGAACTGCTAAGCTAAGGATGTGGTAAAAATCTGCAACAGAGTCAAATAAGTTCAGATTTTTATTGTCTGGCACAGATGGACTTTCCCTGAGTCATACAGAATTTGTGACTCTGCCATCCATTTTGTTTTACTTTACAGAATATTGAGCAAATTTATAGAAAACAAAGTTTTTTTTAGAAATGATTGAAAATGTGTATCCCTATCAACACTCCCCCTCCCCAGCTTAGGTTAAAGCATCAAAATAAGCATTTAGGGAAAGGTGTTTCTTGGGAAGTATAAATTTGCACAAGTGTGCACAAGCACAAGTGTAGGAAATGGCAAAAATCAGATCTCATCAACAAGCAGATACAGAATGAAAGGTGCCAGATTATCTGTGAGAAGCAGATGGAAAGGTTTTAACCAAATCTGTATATCTCATGCTAAGCACATACTTAGTCTAGAAATATATTTCATTTCCAGAATTGAGCTCCTGGTCTTGTCACAAAAACACACTCCTAAGCCATCACCGCAGCCTAATTCAGAAGGATTGGGGGTGGGGGAAGAATTATCTCTGTTGTAGTGGTTAAAGAAATGGAAGTCAGAAATCCATGTTGATTGTTCATTAATCAACCAGAGCTCTACCATTAGATCTCAATCTTCCCTCTGATCATTCCTGATGCAGAAAATCCTAGGCTAGATGGACTGATTCAGTATAAGGGGTTCTCCGATGCTCCTATTATAAATATAGCTTTGCTGTCTGACACAATACCCATATTCCCCACTCCACCACCACTAAAACATCCTGCTGCATAGTTGAGACACCTGTGCCTGCTTTCAGTGACCCACTGCTCAATTTATGGAGGCACCTGAAGCAGGTCATTTCATCCTGCTTGATCATCAAGCTGGTCCAAATATACAGCAGAGCATTAACTTAAGTGGGCTTTTCCATGGCATATTTATTGGGAGCTCTCCTGCTGTGAAAAATGTGTCTACCCTGTTTATAGATTTTGTTAATATTGTCCGCACCTCAAATTTAAAGGCATTTTCATATGTTAAGTCTTGCCTTGTTACTACTCATTGTTCATAGAAGGGAAAGAGGATAGGGATGTATTTGCATGCTGGATGTGTAGGTCTTACACTGACATTACACACTTGTGTGGAGCAAGAGAAGAGGCCAGTAGTGACCGGTCCCCTTAGTATAAAGGAGAATACAGTATTCTGTAAATAATAAAATAAGAAAAATAAAAGGTGGAGTCAGAGTTGGACTGCAACTCCCATAATCCCCACTCACTGGCCATGCTGGCTAGGGCTGATGGGAGTTGTACTCCAGCCACTCTGGGGTGCAGCAGGTCACCTTACCCCTGCTCTAGTCAGTGTCATTCAGTGCAAGCACCAGGAGTTGTACTCCAGCCACTCTGGGGTGCAGCAGGTCACCTTACCCCTGCTCTTGTCAGTGCAAGCACCAGGAGAACTCCCTACAGCATTGGCACTGATTCATATCCCCCTGCAGGGCCACACTGACAAGCCAAATAAGTATCCCTGTTGTGGACAATTGTTGTAGCTTCCACAGAAATACCAGCTGGGTAGCTTCACGTCCACCACATCTTTCCAGCATCCTTAGGTCAGGTCTTCATGGCAACTGAGCCAGCAGTACCCTCACCTTTGCTCATAAGCGTCCACTGCCATGACACAGAATTTTGAGATACACCCAAATATTCTGTCTGAGGGCAGGGCCCAACAAATGAGCACAATCAGCACAGCTTCCCTCATCCCCTCTACAAGCAAAATCTAAGCAAAGGAAGGATATGCTGTAGACCCTAAAAATTAAGGAGACAAAGCCAACTGAGGAACATCAGTTCAAAGCCCTTGAAATGCTATTCCATACTCATACTCTACTCCTTTCAGTAGGGAGAACTTTAAGGTAGCCATGTGTCCTCTTTTACAGAGAACAGTCCTCTTCCTGAATGGCTTTTGGAGGATAGGTCATTGTTAGAAGGTATCCTGTATGAAAAGGACTGTCACCTCCAAGGTGTGTTTCAAGATAAGAAGGAAAAGGCAGGAGCCTTCAAGTTGTCAGTCGTGAGTGGCAGCGGCAGCAGCTAGCCTGTGGACTGAGCAAGCTGCCTGGCCTTCCTCACTAGGAGAAGCATTTCCCTAGTTGCATTTCTATTTAAATTAGAGCAATTGTTTCCAAATGCAAACACACATGCAAACATTATGCAAATTTATCTGTGTGAACAGGAATGTTGGGATGCAGCCAATTTTGCCTTTTTGGGTGATGTTCTTTCTCTTTGGAGGCAATTTCTAAAGTGCCACCCTAGTTGGTTTCCTTTGAATGAGTTCCCAGGAGATTCATTGGCAACTTTGATATTTACACTTATGAGGAAATGTACAGGCTGATTGACAGCTTACTCATTTCAAGGGGCACTGAGCAATTTCAGACTCCCAGGGAAATCCTGCTAGCTCTGACTTTCCCTCAAACTAGAAAGTTTTCACAGTCTAAATTACCACATTCCTTAGGGTAAGTAAGGGGAAATCCTAAGACGTTCCCTGCCCAACAAAAAGATGTACCTGGATGAGATCTGGCCAAACAGCATTTCGTAGGGGATATCATTCAGCTATTTGCTCAAGAACAGACTAGCTCATTATTACACAGTAATTCATTCACACCTCACCTTCACTGGCCTGTGTTCCTTTTGATAGCGCATTAGTTTCTTCAGTAATAAATAGTAAGTTGCTGTTATTGAAGATGGTTTGTTGTTTATCAGGAGACTGACAACATTTGAAAGCTTGGATTCCATTGTCTCCTTCATGTAACTCAAAACAACAGGATTCAGCTCATCAGGATGAAGTCTGGAAAAGAAGATGCTGAGATAACAGCGATCAGCAAACTGCTTTGGCTTACATTGGAACAGATCTGAGGAAGTGAATCTATTTCCCCCCTACCCGGATAATTCTATTCCAAATTCAAAATTGGCACTTCCTTCAAATTGCTCTTAAATATCCCAACCTGCTTGTAAGCCCCTGGACCCTGCCTCACCCACGCTTTTCCCCAAACCTGTAGGATAACACTAACAGTGGCAATGAAGAAGTCACACTGGAGACATCTGGGTGCCATCTCTTCTGGTCTATAATCTCTAGAATGCCTGAGAACAGAGGTACTTTGTTCCTGGAAAGCTCTAGGGAGACTTAGTGTAGGGAGAATGAAAGATGACTGCTTTGGGTGCTCATCCTCAAGGACTGCTGGCTGGACTTCAGAGGAATTGGAATCTCAATGTGAAGCAGATGTGAGGGAGCCTGGGAATGTGGGCCAAGCCGAGACACTGAGATGGGGGAAGCAGAGACATTTGTCTCGAGGCCGGACTCCCCAGGTGGGCAGGCTGTCTCTGGGAATAGCCAAGATGTGCAGATGGTGGGAAGAGCTGCCATGACACATCGCCAGCCGAGGAAGTGGCCCCATTAGAAGATCAGCACGCGGAAAGGAAGTGTGCTCGCTTTCAGAAGGCCCTTCCTGAAGGGATGGGGCCCAGGCATGCTCATAAGGTGAGGCCCTGGAGGTGAGTACTGTATGGTTCAACAAAGTGCCTTGTGAATGCTCAGAGACTCATTCTGGGTGCTTTGTGCTTTTGGGGTCAAGATAAAGAATACTTTGCAAGGAAAACCGCCCAATGCCTTGCCTGATTTGACACTGGAGAGGAGCTTTGCCATCTACTCTGGGGCTGCTCCTCATCCCCCGCACATTTCCATCTGCACACTTGCCTGTCCCCCCACCAGGGAGAATGGGTTTCAGGGAACAGGGGGCTGCACTTGTGGAGACGGGACACGGCTGCACTGGACTTCTGGCAGCATACTTTCTTCCCCTGGTTGTGGCCTTCATGGCTGTTCAGGGCCAATTGGGGTTAGGTTGGGTCTGGAGACTTTCTCCTTGCCCCAGATTCTGTGTTGGGCCCTCTGGGGATTTTTACTGAGGGTGTCTTAGCTTGGGGTCTGGTTTTAGATTGAAGTCCAGGCCCAATTTAAGGTGTTAACTTGGATGCATAAAGCCCTAAAGAGTTAGGGCCTGGTTATCTGAAGGAACGTTCCATATTCACTTGCCCAAGCCTAAGGTTGTCCAGGGAGGTCATTCTTTGGGAACCCTCTTTGAAGGAATTTAGAAGCATGGCTACATGGAGAAGGGCCTTTTCTGTGGTAGCGCCCCAGCTTTGGAATTTGCTTTGCAGAGAGGTACACCTGGAGTTGATGCTTTATTCATTTTGGTGCCAGGCCAGAACCTTTTTATTTACTTGGTATTTTAAGGTTTGATGGTGTTTTAAAGGTTAGAATTTTATCATATGTTTCACATTGTATTTTAATTGTGCTGCTACAATTGTGAGCAGTCTTGAGACTCATTTTGGTATAAGACAGGATATAAGTCTTTTCAACCAACCAACCCACCAACCAACCAACCTGTCGTTTTTGCATGCACCAAGGAGGAACCCCAGCTCCCAACACTGGGAAACTTAATTTCCCAGGATACCTAATGCATATTGTGGATGTCATGCATGATAGAAACTACATCTCTCAGGGTTCCTAAGCACCCTGTCTCAGCATGGTATTCAGCATCTAAGATATAGCTGAATGAACTCAGCAGTATTCCCAATGCCTTAGATAGGTAATTTCCAAGGCTACTGATAGCCACAGTGTGAACTCAGAGCACTTAGAGAATATTTCCCAGGCTGTCTGGTGCTTTGGTCCCATCTGTCTCAGTGCTGGGGAGTGTTAGATGTCAGGGAGGAAGAAATGCATGCCGCTTATATTACAATCAAGACTGAGAAGAATTATTGAGGAAGATTGCTCTTGCTTTTCGCATGTTTCAGTACAATGAGCTGGCCAGATTCCTATTCCAGATCAAGTTTTGGCCACACCACTGAAGATGATGGCCAGCATTCAACATGGGGCTCACCAAAGCCTAACTTTTTTGTGGGGGTTGCACCTCCCCGCTGCACAACTTTCTTTCCAGCAGAGTGGCTGGGATCCTGGCAGCATGGCCACTACTATTGCGGTGGCAGGTGAGGCCCTGGAAGGTTCTAGACAGGCAGTGTGGCTCCCAGCCCTCCAAAGTTGCCTGCTCCTGCCTCGGAAGGCCTCTTTCGGTTGACTCCATAGAGGGAAGTTCCTTTTGTTCTTGAAGAACAAAGATGGAAGTGGTCAACCTTCACCTACTCCTGTTTGGTGTGCAGTTCTGGAAGGTCCTCTCTGAGCTTATGGTTATTAAGCATGTAATGGTTGTCTTGGTCTTTCCTGTAAGTTGGAAATCTGTACATACAGTTGTTAGTCCCCCACAGTGCACAGAGAAGCTTTCCACAAAACTAGACAATTATTTTCTGCCTAAAATGTCTGTCTTCCTGCTGAGGAGGACTAAGTTCATCCCACCCCTCTTGTCCTTCTTCTGGCAAGAAAATACCTTCACATTCCAACAGGACTTTGATGTGTAAGCAGTTCTGCTTGGTTGGGTGCTGTTTTCATTCTGTTACTGTTGTGTTTCTGATTGCATTTTCAAGGACTTATTTTATTATTGTTTTACCCAAATCTTATCTATAAATGTAAGCTGCCTTGAATGACGTTTTTCCTGGTAGAAAGGTGGGATACAGATCAAAGAAATAAATATTTCAGTACCTAATTTCTTCCAGACAGTGCAGGCAATACTGAATTATTTTTTATTTAAAACATTTATATCCTGTTCAATATCAAGGGTCTCAGGATGGCAATACAATGGGCAGCATACATAAGTAGAATATAAATATATAATAAAACCATTATCAAAACAACATTAATCCTTAGAATATTGGGAAAATGAATTAGATGCTCAGCCAGAAGCATTTTATTGGCATACAAAATAATTGTTGCAGTAAGTATCCAAGAAGGACCACAGCTCTGGCATAGTTCCCATGTCTCCATCCTTGGTCCAGACAAGAATAACCTCATCCTAACTGCAGCTCTGCTGGGGGAGAATTTTCCTCAAGCATTCCCCCCCCCCAAAAAAAATACCCACAAATGTCAGGGGAAGATGAGGCTAGGGGCTTCCTCCCTAAAACCAACTATTATAGATGGACTTTTGTTGTTGTTGCATTGAGAAGAATTCAGTAATGTGAGCCCCATCCCCAAATACAGATGGGCTCTCGCTGTCAAAAATAAAGGCACAATCCTATGTTCTCCTGATATCATCTGAGTTCCAATGACCTCAAAGCTGAGACTCTGAAGGTGGAGCCTCTGCCCGGCCCCTTGCACAGCCTGTGCAGAAAGAAGCAGGCCAGCTGCCCCCACCTGGTCGCGACTGGGCCCTGCAGGGGGGAATGTGCCAAGAGGTGGGAAGGGAAGAGACTGGAGCTTTGACCTTAGGCCAGTCCTGCTGGTGACCAGCCTTCCTCCCACCCCTCCCTGGCATTTCTCTAGATGGCTCCAAACAGCTGTCCAATTAAAGCAAGCAAACAAACGCAATGCAAGGTGGAGATTCCCGCAGCCATGCCTCATTCCGGGCACAGGATGCAGGGGAACCTCCGAGTCCAGGGACTGATGTGTTCTGAAGACACGGGAGAGAAGACTGTGCCCCCAACATCTCAAAAAGTGTGTTCTAATCAAGAGCTTGTGGAGTGCAGTAAAGTTTTGACTTCTCATTGGAGAGGGATACAGATAAGCCTTATTTTGCTCATTCTCCCTGCCCCCTTCATGGAATTTTGCAGACGATCCAGGTGGTGACATACTTAATTTGTGGCCCTCCTGTCCTTTCTCACCACACCTTCCACCTTTCTTCATACAGACATGCCAGTGAAGGAGGAGAAGACCGAATTGTAGCACAGTGCCTTTGGACTGGCATGCTATGAGCCCTTGCTCAGGAAACACCCAAAGATCTCTACTCAAAATATAGGGGAATAGAATCAATTTCTTGAAATGCCACCTTTTTCTTTCTTTCACTCATAGGATGGATCCTGACTATCCTATTATAGAGCTACCACTAAAACTGGTTTTATGACTTTTTAAATGAGGGACTAGAATTACTTAAGGTTCCGTTTTCTGTTGCTGCTTGTTTGTTTTTTAAAGTAAGGCCTAGAATGAATGAAACTGGCCTTAAGCCCAGGAAATACTACTCATGACATGGAAACGAAGGCATGAGAGTGAAGTTTGGAAAGTGTTACCTGTTTTTATATGTGAACAAGTTCACTGATTTCCTGATATTACTGTCATTCAGCCATTTGTCTTTCATGGCCTCTTTAATAGCAGGTCGCTTTGCTGGATCAGGTTCAAGTAAGGAGTGCATAAAATGAACAGCTCCTGTGCAGAAATGCCAACAAAATGGCATTAACTACAGTAAAAATATGCAGGACACCATAATTTCAGAACATTTCCCCCCTTTCACCAAAGAGCCCACAACAATAACAGGGAGGATGGAAGAAATGCTGCTTTTTACTACTGCACCATGGCACCAACAATACGTCACTGGTACAGCCAGCCCTGATGCAAATATTCCTAACGCAAAAATATGTGCTCCTGGTTTGGGATTTTAGGATCCGAATGTATTTTTATTTTATTTTGGTACAAATGTTCGTCTCTGTTTTTTTTTTAAAATAAAATATTTCTATTCCTAAGAAGATAATCTTGGGCATGAGAAAATTGTAACAATTTCTGATTAAAAGTGGCATTGCTCTGGGCTGACTTGGGGAAGGAAAGGCCACACCTGCTCCTGCTAAGATCCAAAAGAAGAAAAGTCTTCAGTGCCTTCAAGGGTTAAATAGAAGAGGATGTAGCTTTTATGGAGGAGACAACATCTGTACCTGCTGAAATACCTTCTTGTATACAGCTTTGTATATGCAAAGTACAGGAGCCCTGTTCTCTGTTGTACATGCTGTGGGTCCCTATGGCCCAGGGACAATGTGGCACTGCCAGGTTTGTTACTCTTCCATTCTCCTAGGCCCATTACTTGCAGATTTGGGTTGGCTGTCCAGGTTACCTGGGAACATCCATTTCCTACCCAGCCATAATTCCAAATGCAGGGATACCCCTTTGGTGAAAGCTGCCATGCCTAGTTTTTGCAAACAGTTGTGCCCAAATTGTGCAATGGTTTTCCTAATATAAATAATTGGATCATTATTTTCACATGTATACACATTTCTGTATGCTCCAACCTTGAAGATACAGCTTTTTGTAGGGTGTTTCAATGCAAAATCCAGAGATGTGTGAATCCTGAAAGAAAACTAACTTTGTATGTATATAGGATCATTTAATCTAATTGATTAGGTGACTTTGCATTATATGTGAACTGAACAATTCCCTCATCCCATCCTTATTAACAGATACCCAGCACCTGTGCACTGGTAATTACATACAGTTATTAGTTTGCTTAGAAAGTTTTGGCATTTAAGTTCTACTGCACTCAACAGTGTAAAGTGGGTCTAGTCAGCACAATGGCGCAGGATTTTTTCATTTGTTTTGCGAAGGGAGCCAAGTGGAGGCTGTTGCCCTGGGGATTCACACATGGAGCAGACTGCATATTTCTGCTTGCTCTATTGGGAGCTGAAATGCAGCTAGTGCTCAGCAATACCTTCCCTTCACTGGGCAAGTGCTTGCTGTGGCAAGGTCACTTGAGTGGTTTAGCAGTGGCTGGGCTTTCTGATGGGGAAAAGGTTACAGGAAGGCCTGAAGGTGTTTTGAAACAGACAAAAGACTAATTTCAAAAGGAAACACTAGACTAATTGAAGGCATGGCCAACTTGTTCTACTGGGTCCAAGACACTACTATCCCTTGAAAATATTGATGCAATTGTGACATTTTTCTTGAGAAGTTGTGCCACATTTTATAAGGGCATCAAACAATTACAGGTACAGTTGAGCCATAGTTCAGTATTTTAAAGCCCCGTTCATGTCAACAAGAGGATTAAGCAAGGACCTATATTTCCCAGTGAAAATGAAGGGGCGGCAAAGTATTTAATTCTGTGTGGAACATACCCCATGTATAAAATACAAAACCAGGAATGGTTTACCAGTGGAAATGTTGGGTGGAATGGGATTCATTTCACCATTAACCATCTTCAGATGAAGTTGCTTGATATTAAAGGGCTCCACAGTGAAGGGTAATGTGCCAGTGAGCATGGCAAACATGCTAACTCCTCTGTCAAGGAGAAAGACAATGCAGAATAGCTGTGAAAATGACATGCAGTATCCACCTGTGGTATCACATTTTGTGTTGCTTATCAAAAATGAAGGTTATATGCTTCCCTGCGCTACTACTAACACATAGGAGAACACACAAACATGTTTTCAATGGTAAAGAACAGCACGGCTGTAGAACAGTTTTCTACAAAGTAGTCCCTCCTTCCCCACAGGGACCACCATGCAATGGTTGAAAATGCTTTTTGTGGCATATTCAAAGGGGCATGTTGAGTGACAGTGCAGAAAGTCTTAAACATATTAGCTTGAAAGATCTTAGAACACTGTACTGTGCGTGTTTACTTACAAGTATGTTAAAGGTATGCAATAAGTTTTACTCTCTGAAAGTGTGATTAGGATGGGAGTTTCATGAAGACACGGATGCCCTCAGCCAGTAAGATTCTCTGTGTAGAATAACAATATGGACGTCAGGGCACAGTTCTAGTTTATGAAAACCCATCCTGTGCTCAGTGAAAAAGTAAGGGTTGCATATGGCAATTGACAACCCTTTGCAGGAAGCCTAATTATGTATGATGAGTTGCATGATGAGTCTTCCTGCCTGTGTCTCAAGATCATCTTTAGAGTCCATCTTCACTGGCCCACCAGCAAGGACAATAAGGTTGGTATGCACTAGGAATCCATAGAATTCCCTTCCAAGATTGATATAGCTGGCCACAGCTGTGCCTGCTTTAAATGGATTATAAAAATTCAACTGTTCTCCCTGGCTTTTAATTGAAAATAACTATGAAATCGTGTTTCACTGAAACCTGTTTTATTAAAGTATACAATTGATTAATGTGTCAGTATTGTTTTGCTTCTGTAAGCTAATGCCTTGCAAGCCAGCAAAGAAATCAGTTTAATCAGTAAAATAATAAATAGTACTAACTAAAAATCACATTAGTCAGGAAAACAAGCCACTTAAAAAACACACACATAATGGATTGGAAGCTAATGACAGATTAATATAAGGAAGTTCATGAAAGGAAAATGTATCCTCCACTGTCTTCCCCTTACAACCACCTACACCCCACAAAAGCCTCTCTAGAGAGTTGTGGGGTGTGCTTCTGCGCAATGGGGGATCTGGCCCCGAGTATCTGCTGAGGAAATGGGGAAGCACTTCAAAGCAGATGTTGTCCCATCCCATCCCCTCCCACCCCACATGGCAAGGGCTGCCTGGTCCTCCAGACAGGCTTCTGGGGAAGAGCAGGGGGCTGAAGGGGGAATGGGAAGCTTCTTAAGTTATCTTAGGATCCAAGCCAATGTCATTATTTTTCACAGAAAATGCAGCCTAGCTTTTGAACATCAGATTTAAGATGCTTTGGAGGACTGCAGTATGATTAGCTTTCATCCATCACCTGAATTTGCAAAACACCAGTTTTGTTCCAAGAATGCCACCAATTTCACTGGGATGGAAGAATTACAGTGTATTGCAGCTGATAAATCTTCAAGCTGCATGTCTTGTCGGTTTCCAGCCACAAATAAACCTTAAGCATATTGTTGGTCAATGCTTGGATGTTTGGTATGTTGTCAGTCTTGTATGCTATTTCATAAACCTGCTGAGGTTGGAACGCTTCCCTGCCCTCACAATTTCCATGCATTGGGACTTGTACATTCCAGCCGGGTGATGAAAAGAGCTATTGGTATAACCCTTTTCATATATCTCCAACACCAAGCAATTTCACATGTTCAGTTATTGCAGTGAAAAAGCTATTTATGCCTCAATGAAATGTTCCTAAAATTAATCTAATATTCTTCCAAAGTGTCATAATTTTTTCTGAGAACTCTTGGGATATTCTGGGAAAAATATAATTGTCAAGAACTGGCTGTGACAAGGGGGAAATAGATAATATCATTTATGTGGTGATTTTGAGCAGGAGATAGAGGACTTTGAGCTTGTCAGATTTTTTTTTAAGTAGAATCCCAAGATCTATCAACCAAAGGTGGAGAAAAATGACAAAAACCTGAAATTAAAGGGCAGGTGGTAGAATTCCTGAACAGGGTTATATTTTTGTCACCAACTTAACATGCACACATACAGGCCAACAGGTTCAAACTGGCTTCCTCTTCTAGGATGTACATTTAAGGCTACTTTGAGGGTAGAGCTTTCTACTAAGTAATTTTCTGATTTGCTAGCTTCAGAAAAAGGGGATATCACATCTATTGGTCTCACCTAAGGGACTGACTTTTACTAACTGGATATTCCCATAAAAGTTAGAGTTTGCTCACTTCCTCAAAAACATTCCTTGTAAAATCTAGTCCATCAAGATGTTTCTCTCAGAGCATCTTTTCTGCAACAAACTCTACATATGCTCTGGAAACCAAGACTGTGCTAAGGTTTGTAATATGTAACTAGCTAAATTAGACTAAGTTTGTTGAATTCGATTTAGAAATTGTGTATGGGACTGTTGCCTTCTCTTCTCTCCACTTCCTACTCTTTTTCTCCAAAATAAACTCTTTATAATACTTGGACATTATGCCTTGTTGTTTCAAAAGAGACATTCTCATTAAAATCTGTTACTTACATGAAGGGCTGCATAATTACCAAACTACCACTTCTGCTTGCAGGACTTTCACAATGTTTTTGCTGCGTTCTCCCTTTCTGGAAATTAGGCCGCGCCCCTGCCCCCAGGCCCACAACCCTTCCTTTTAGTGTGTGTGTGTGTGTGTGTGTGTGTGTGTGTGTATTTGTGCCTAGAGGTGGGCCTCTGGCAAAGGGCTCAGAAACATCTCAAGCAGTGGGACAGACTAGGATGTGATAGGAAGTAAGCAATCTATATTTTGGGGGGGTTGGAGGGAAACCTTTGTAAATAAGGGGTTTCTTAGTAGGAAGAGCCCTCTGTCCTCTCTGTATAGAGTAATCTTGAAGTAGGAGAGTGGAATACACCACTTAAGGCTACAGAAGGGAATGTTGTTCTCTCACATTAAATACATAGAAACAGAGAGACTTAGAAGCGGCCTCCTGGGTCATCTAGTCTAACCCCCAGCTCCACTCACGACATGCCCACCATGTGCATGTCCAGCAAACTGTCAGGAAGTACTTCCTGGCATCCAAATTGAACCTTGGTTCCCTGAGCTTTGGTCCATTGGAATGTATCCTGCCCTCTCCTACAGGGGAAAGCAGAACAGAACACACAGAAGCCTCCTGCATGCAAATAAAGTAGCACATTGGATAGGAAGGCTGAGCTTAGCTTTGCTCCCTGCAATGCTGATATATTTCAGGCAAGCAACTTTTGAGCCCAGGAAGCATGAAAAATGCGATTACTCATCTGCAATCACCTGATGCCATTCTATCACCTCAGAGTTCTGCCACTGTATGAGCCAGGTCTCAGATTCTTAACAACACCCTTGTATGGTAGACTACTATTATTGCTTCCATATTACTGATCGGGGTTGAGGCTGAGAGAGAGTGGCTTCCCTACAGCTGTTCAGTGAGGTTCACTGTAGAAGTGAAATCTGATTCAGTAGCTTAGCTGCTCCGCTGCTCTATTTTATAGCTCTCTACAGTTTCTCCACATGAAAAGGAAATACAGGGGTTGAATTCAATGTTAGTCCTACTTAGAACAGACCCAATGAAATGAATGGGATTAAAGTTATATTACTATTAGAGTCAAACCAAAGAATATAATGAGTAGAAGGCCACTTCTCAGTTAACAGTAGCCCCTGAAAGGTATCACTACCTCATCCAATATGCATGTAATAATACCAGTGTGCAAACTGTGACTAGGAAAAGTTATATTTATCTTGGCCATATTCATATGAGCTGAAAAAGCTATTTCAGGTATGTGACCCAGAAGCGTTTTTGTATTGAACATGGACATCATTTTTCCCTGCAAGAAAAAAAACAGCATGTTAACTAGAGGCAGTGTCAGAGAACAGCCCGGTAGGAGCACCAATCTCTAGGGAGATCTCTGCCCCCTCCGCTCTCCAAGGGCACTTGCTGAAAGAGAGGTACTGGGGCCTCCATGGGCCCTGTTGCGCTGGAGCCCCCGGATTAGCTGGCTTTTACTCCCGTGCGCTTCACCTTCCACTGCCCTTCTGCTGGGGTCTTTCAGCCTGAAGTATTTTTCTGAAACCAAATGCCCTCCTCTCCCCTGCCCATAGACCTCCTTTTATAAAGGGCTGTCCTTAGCGCACAGAGTCTTTAGAGCAATGTAAATTGGCATATATGGAGCTGTGCATTTTTATTTTTTATTTGTTGAATGCTGTCCTGTGGGCCTGAGCATGGGTCCTTTTTGTACCTAGATACATCCCCAATATTAACTGCTTTAGTGTCCCTTTAAAATGACTGGCTATCCCTTTTTTTTTGCACTGACAGCAGTTGTGCTGGGGAGGGGTCTTCTGTCCATTTGCACCAAAAACTAAGAAGGTTACACAGCATATGCAGCACTGCAGGGTTCTGCACGTCCCCGAAAGAAATGTCTATGGAGTGGAAGAGGAGGGGGAATTCTTCAGTTCAGAGAAAGCCTGTGAGCTGAAGCATTTGAACTAGGATTGCTTCTAATCTGTTTGCAGGGAAACATCGGCCCCCAAAGTAAGTGACTGGATAGGATCTTCCTAATAGGCCTGTTACTGAGCATCTTGCAGATCTTCAGAGAGGTTCTAAGCCTCTTCTTACAACAATTAAAATGGCTCTCTGATGAAGCTGACGCTTGGGTTTTATTTAATGTGTTGTTTAAAGTATGTTAAAATACTGATGGATTGTTTATTTTACTATGTAATTTACAGGTCATGTTGTAGTTGTTGTTGTTAAAATGTCTTAGAAGACTTTTGCAAAAACAAAAACAAAAACAAAAAGACCCAAGGAGACTTATAGTAGAATTAAAACAAAGAAAAAGCAAAGCAGATACATCAGTTATCCATTGAAATGCAATCGCTGCATAAAATGAACATATCATTGACACACATTAACAGTCCTTCAGTCTGTCCTGCCAGCAACCAAGAGAACTTTGCATAAGGGTTTTGGTCTGGAGGTTTATGACAGGAATTGTGTCTAATTTGATGGCAGGACTGAGCCAGAAGTGAAGGTACCAGAGCTCCCCAGAGGAAGAACAGGCTGATGCAGCACCGATGGGTTTTGGAAGTGTGGGACAGTTGAGTCGAAAACTCCCTGATGTTTGGGATGAACTGAACATTCCAATGGTGAGTTAGCACTTTTGAATATGAGGTGGAAAGAAGGCCTTAAGCCCTTACTCCCTTGTAACTAAGTAGTTTCTCCCAGACAACCAAAGTTCAAATTTTGATTTCTCTCCCAAGTACCAATATTCTTCCACTCTCTTCATGGAGGACAAAGCTTTGGCAAAGTGGGAGATTCAGACCAGCCCTAAGGTATTCCTTTTTGTGAGATTCTTCCAACTCACTTTGGATGGCACTATAACTAGATTAGCTTTGGAGGCACCCCAGTGTGCCATTACAGATATGCAAAGCCCAGCTGGGGATTGCCATGGCTTGTTGTGCCATCTAAACCTGAGCAATAGGGGCTTTTGAGGGTTAAAACATTTTTTCAAAGACCACAATCTGTTCTACTGTTCCATACAACCAATGCAGGGGCTTACATATTCAAAATGGTGGCTGGCACACACCACAGGTCCTCATGGGTAAATTATCCCACAATGGGCTGTCATACCATGCAAATTGCCCCCCATCTCATAAAAATCATACTTCAGACAGATTGTTATATATATACTATCAATACTGTGCTCATAAATGACTGACTGCAAATTACGTATTTCTACAAGTTCTGATAATGGACTGAGCATTCGATGCATCTTGTAGCCAATTCCTTGTAGCCACTTCATGACAACACTGGCACTTTCAAGTCCACTTTGGTTCTCTGAAAAAGTGATTGCGTGTCTTTAGCTTGCTCCTGATTCGCTCCCATGGAAATGGCTTACCAACGACTTTGTGTTTTTCAATAGTGCCTGTCATTCTATGGCAAGGATGCTAAGCGTGGGCCACAGAATGGCAAGGATATAAGAAGACAGTCTCCTGGGCAAACCCACGTGATTCAGGGTGCACAGTGAGGGTTTCTTCCATTTCTCAACTGGCTGCAGCTATTTACACCACAGTCAATGTTCTCCAATTGTCAAAAGTATTGATTAATTTAATTGATCAAATTAAATACCACATAACAGGCTACAACAAAAAGGAGACCGAGGAATACTAGTTTGTGCATAGCAGCTCCCTTTTAGAAATCCAGCCCAGGCCTTGAAATTTCCCCTGGGCGCACCTTACCTAGTTTTCCTCAGGCAAAATGACAATAATAGCAATGGTGTGAGAGATGGTTACTATCATAAAGTACACCGTATCTTAAATATGCTGTAGAAGTGATAAAATGATTAATTAACTACTTACATGGACCAGACATCCACTTTTGGTCCATATTTTTTGTGAGCCAGGAGTTCTGGGGCTGCATAGGCAGGACTGCCACATTGTGTGCTTAGCAGTTCTTGAGAAAGGCCTTCAGATTTCATGATGTTGCTCAGGCCAAAATCTGAAGAAACGCACAGAGGAAATCCAATATTTACACTCAGAGGTATGTGCCCTTTGGGACTCCGTTAACTATCGCTCTGAAAAGGTCTAGAAGCTGCCCACACACAAGGGACTGATGCAGACATGGCCTATTCTCATGTCGCACCGCTTTTCCACTCCACCCTATTTTCAACACGCAATATTTTCCGGTGGTTATTATTCTGGGTATGTTGCACACTTGCAGGTAGTGCAGGCTGCCTCACTCACACTCATGCTTGAGCCCCCATCACGACCCTTTCACACACTGGCCACTTGGGTGCTTACATGGGTCACCGTTTCTGTTCCACGGTGCAGGAGAAGCAAGATATCCCCTCCCCTGACAGAGCCTTGACATGATGCTCACCAGCCACCTCCAGCATGAAGCCCTCCAGATATTCTTGGGCTACGGCTGCAAGCATTTCTAACTCATGGGAGTTGCAGTCTGAAACATCTGGAGGACACCCAGTTAGGAAAGGCTGCTCCACGCAGGCATGTGTAGAACACTGAACAGTGCATTTTCTTTCCTCCCATCCTCTACTTTTGAGTGGGGAAGAATAAAGTAATCTGGGCTCCTGCTCACATGGAGATCCATGTGTGTGTGAATATTCATTCTTCTCCATTATAGCAAGAACTTCAACTGGGTACCTTCACTAGACCACTGCACTGCCAGCTAAATGGAAGCTAAGATAGCTTTGGCTGTTGAGGGGTCTAGAAATTAAAGAAATGAGTAAATAATTAAATGTGAGAAGTGATTCATTTGCAAAAAAAAAGGTGTCCCGGGTAGCTCTGTGAATGCTTAATACTGAACATTAAGGTTAGATCCTTTTATGATAGTGCATTTTGTTTTTTATGTCTCTGTCCCGTTTTTCTTCCAAGAGCTCAAAGCAATGCACACATGACCCCTCACCTTCTGAAGTAGGTTAGCTTGAAAAATAGTGATTGCCTGACAGTAAACTTCATGGCTGAGGAGCTCGTGGAATCTGGGTCGCCGCAGTTCTTAATGAATAGCGGATCCTGCACATGTGATGCACTGTGAGGCGGCTTCCTATCTTGCAAGATTTATTGACAATGATAGTGTAAGTGTTATGATAGTGTATCTACACTGTCATCACCAATAATCCCTTGATTCGTTTTAAATTTGCCTTATATTGATTCTGGCCTTTGGTCTATCTATCCAGAATAGTCAGTATTGACTATGTTGATCAAAGAGATGTTCTAGACTAGCACAGGCAAGGTCTTTTTGTACATGGCGGCTGTATGGGTGGATGGGCGGACGGTGGCCAGGCTGGCAGTGAGAGAGGCTAGGATGCACCTATCCAACCAGATGCGCACAGAGTGGGGGGTGAGGAACATATGAAGAAATGTGCTGGGTCAGATCAAAGATGCATCTAGTTCACCATTCTGTTTACACAGTGGTCCACCAGCTGCCACAAGCAGGGCATGAGTGCAAGAGCACCCCACCCCCTGCCCGTGTTTCTCACCAACTGCTTTCCAAAGACACATAGTCTCTGCTATTGGAGGTGTACCTGCCCATCATGGCAAAGAGCCGTTGATAGACTCATCTTCCCTGGATTTGCCTGATTCCCTTCTACTATCACCCATCTTGGTAGGCTATCACTGTGGATGTTTCTAGAGGAAGCTTTAATGTACCACTTTCTGCATCATTCACAGAATTCGATTAGGGCTGGTCAGAAGGTCCAGAAAATGTGATCTTTCATTTGTAAGCTTCCTGTACTCTCTCCCAGCTTCTTACATTTTTTTTCTTCAGAAAATCCACTATGAAAAATAAGATAGAATAGCTGCATAATGCAGCACTGCTCCAGCTGAAGGCAGCCTACATATTGTGACTTCCACAATTTAAATATGAGCTGTGTGAACAAATACTTCCTTTTATCTGCCCTGAATTTCCTACCAATCAGCTTGCTTCATGGGATGATCTCAGGTATTAGGGGAGAAGGAGAAAGAAGTTTCTCCTTATCCACTTTCAACACTCCTGCTTGCATTTTTCTAAACTAAAAAATCCCCAAATGTTGTAAGCTTTCCTCATTGGGGATTTGCTGCAGCTCTTAATCCTGTTGGTTGCCCTTCTCCACACTTTCTCCATCATTACACTATCTTTTTTAAGGAATAATGTATGCACAAATAATGGAAAAACAGCAATCCTGCCTGCAAGGTGTGTTCAGGGTCAGGTGGAAACCTCTCTCAGGCAATTCTGATCAAGAGCACTGCTAACAGCATTAAGGAAACAGTTGATATCCGATCAGTTGTGCAGTGGGGAGAGAAGGCAGACTTCCAGTGGCTCTATAGGCCACATTCAGGCTGTGGATTTCTCACCCATGCTATATTGTTTCAGACAGAAATCTTTAGGTCTTATTGAAACAGGGACTGAATCATATGCTCAGTCACTGAACTATAACCCTTCTTCTGTAGTGTTCTGTGGGGTTCGAGTCTATAGGAAATGAACGTTTCTTAGTTAGGCAAATTTTAGTGCTCATTCACTTTTTGGAGTGCATTTCTAATTAAAGAGTACTAAAAGTCCTCCACGTGAACTCAGAAAACTTTCAATTCTACACATAGCTACTATGGTACAGAAGAAGGCTTTGAAAAGACTGTGCCACTAATGCGTGTCTGGATTTTACAGAGCAGGCTCAGACACGTTAAGCTACCCACTCACTTCATGTGTGTTTTCCCAGTTCATGTCAGTGATGACACTTTAAAAGTGATACTCTATGCCAGTATCAAGCACATGTGAGGAAAAGGCAGTAATGGCGGGGAAGTGCCACACCACATTATAAAAGAAAGCTTCTTTCTTTTTGTGAAGTGTGCTCATGAAGAAGGAAGGGAGCAGAAAATATGTACATTCCTTTATAACATCACACGCAGTTTCCATAGATGTAGGTAGGGTTATTCGAAGAAGTTTGTTAGTAATTTTTTATCCTTGGGTTTGAGTTGAGTCCGCCCAATTCATTTAAACTTACAGAAAAAGTATGTGGTAGAATCCTCCCTTGGTACCAGGGGAGATGAGTAATGTAGCAAACAGCGGGTGGAGGGAAGGACTTCAGTCGTGGTATGAAGGCTGCAGAAGGTCTTTGGCTTCCCACCAAGGTGTGCAATGAAGATGCCATCACCTTGTGCCAAGACCTGATCTGAGCTCAGCCTGCAGTCCAGGAAAGTTTCCAGGTGTCCAAAAGAAACAAAGGAAACGCATCTGTGCAGGATGCAGCAGAAGGCGGGCAGGGGCTGAGGGGGGCCTCCCATCTCCAGATTTGACATTGCACATGTACATCAGGACAAGCGTTAATCCAGGGGTGGGGAACATATGGCCTTCCAGATATTTGTTGAACTACAACGTCCATGATCCCTCGTCATTGACTACGCTGGCTGTTGTTGAGTTGTCCTGCAGATGTTATTTCATCACCACACCTTCTCCACCCTTGTATTAATCCCCACACTGAATAAGGCAGAGGTTATATCCCTTCCACAATTGTATTACTTGTTTTTCTCAGTAATTCTGGAAGTTCTCTTCAGCTGAAGCAAGGGATAAAATGCTTTTCATTAAATAATTAACCCCCTCGCCACTTGTACCATAGCTATGATTCATCCACTGGGCGACATATGCAGCCTGCACAAGGATAAAACAGCCCTTCATATAAAAGAGTTTTATGTAATGATTCACCTACCAACAATTTTGATGCCATTGCTTTCGTCTAGAAGAAAATTTTCAATCTTCAGATCTCTGAAAAAACCAAGAGACAAAGTAATTAGCTTTTCCTGAAAAGCAAATAGCAGGCATGGCTTCTCAGAATATAACAATCTGATGGCTCTGATGGAACATGGCAAATGGAATCCTACATATCACGGGAGAAGCTTCAGAGCAATATGGGCTTCTCTCCATTAAGCGCTTGTTGGGTGGCTGTGATCCCTGACCCATGGAAATCTGTGCATCCAATATACAATGTTGTCTTCTTCCAGGGCCTCTGCCATGTTTTACAGCCATTTCTGTGCCTTCTATTTAAGAGCAAAGACAGTCATCTATTTGTTCCAATCAGGCTAGGAAGCCTCTGTCTATCTGTTTGATCTGATTTCAGGTTCTGATTTCTCAGTGCCCTGAGTGGGTGAAAGTTCAGAAAAGCCTTTAGATAAGTTTCCTTCAGATGAAAGAACCCTGGAGATCTAAGCTGTTATCGTTATTATCTATTTATTTACAAAGACAAATTATGGAGAAACATAGTCAAAGAATGTCATTGCCATAAAATTCCAGTGATATCTGTCCCCCAAATCTAAATCAGGTTTCTTCCAGCTAAAATCAAAATTTCTACTTTTAAATCTCCTGTGCACCATTTCCCAGACACACCTTGAGTAATTCAGCTTTCCAGATAAATGTGACTCACATTTTAATGCTTGGAACAATTGAAGCTTAAGGAGAAAGCCTCCTCGCTCCGTCCTTTTGCATTACAGAACAGCGTGACTAAGAACATTGAGAGATGGGATACCATTTGTTTTGTTGACACATAAAATTGGTTTCACAATGGTCCAACTCTGAGTAGGTGGCATACCTTGGTACCAGAATAACCCCTTGGCTTTTCAATCAAGGCCTTTCATTCCCATCACATATGGCATGTGAAAATAAGACAGATATATAGATAGATTTTTTCTATATTTTCTATTTATTGTTTTTATTTTGTTTAATTTGGTTTTATTGAATTCTTATATTTTATTTATGATTTTATTGTCATTGATCTTTTGTAGCTATGTATTGTCATGTTGTCTTTGGTATTGTTTTATGTTGTCTATGGATTTTAATAAGATATAAGCCTCCCAAAGAACCTATGGCTAGTGAGGCGGCATAGAAATAAATGATTGCTGACATAATCATCTCGTAGCTGTTATGATCACTCTTTCCTTTCCGTCGGAAGAGAAAAATATTCCAGGCATGCAGAGAGTTCTTTTTAAAAATTTATTCCAATGAAGAGAACAGAAAAAAAAATGGTTTCCCTCTCATTTTTCTGTTCACCTGAGCACATGCTCGCCTCCCCCTTTTGAACCCTGCTCCCGGTCGCTTCTTCCCTCCTCCTTTCCCAATTGGCTGGGGTACCAGGAGTTTACAATCTTTCCGCCTGCATACTCCGCGCTGCCCCAACACCGGCCCTTCTTCCCAATCCAGCCCTGCCCCCAGTGGGCTATAATAGGCTCATTTTGTTCTGCCCAGCTTGTCAATAAACAATCAGGAAGTATTTGGCCCTCCTGCCTATGTGCCTGTTTCCCCATACCTTGTGCTATCTGATTTTGGTCCCTCCCCTCCTTTGGGCTAAGTAATTTTCTTTGTTACCTTTTCAAATCTCTTTACTCCCTTGTTTCAAATCATTCTTTCACGCCTATCATAGCCAAGCAATCTATCTCACTGCTTTATAATGTCCATTACCTACAACTGGGCCTACGGTTCCATGTATGTCCACCAAGAGGAATGTTGTGACCAGTCCAGAATTCCAGCTAGCCTGGAATAGGATCCTTCCAGTCTCTTTCAGGCCTCACAGGGAAGGGAAAGGCAAAATGAGAAGCACTTCTCAACCCCTTCAAATCGTTCTCCTGTTTTAGCATATTGTGCTCTATCAGTTAACAGCAGCGGCCTAGCATGCTTCCAGGCCAAAGGGGGCAATGGAAAGCAGGTTGTGCCAACAGCAGCTTGCCTTGCTTATCCCACTTGTTCGGTTACTTGACCGGTTCCTTTCTGCTGTTTCCTCCATTTCTTCTTCTTCGCCTCTGTAGCAGGCAACCTGTGCTCTCTCCCTGGGGAGAGGGAGAGCTTTTGGTTCTCCTGCTTTTGGTTCATTATTCATGCATCCTGCTTTAGGGGGCGCTTGTAGTTATCCAGGGCCAGATAGCCCTCTCCAGCAATGTGTATAAAACAACTAGTAAAATAAATTGATTTGAACTGGCTCAAGCTGCTGGTCATCCCTGCAAGCTGCATGCTGTGTTGGTCTGGATAAGGCAAACAGGCTGTAAGTCACACTGGACTTCCCAAATCTTCAGAGGGGCCAGAGCTGGGAACGGATGCCAATCCCGCAACAGGGTATTTTATAGCAGGCAAGGCTGATACTGGAGAGTGGGGAAAGTTTCCTTTCCCCCATTGTCTGTTGAAACATCACTGCATAGTGCAGGAAGGAGGGGGGATTTGTTTTGTTTTTCTTCATGATGCCTATTCCCCCAGTACTAATTCCCTTTTCAGAACACTTGCTATAAATTGTTAGGGGCTGAGCAGTATAATTTCTTCTAGTTTTCCATTCCCATTTCCTCTCGTCACCTGGTTTTCAGTGGGCACTTCTGTATTCTGTATGTTCTGGAAACTCAACTGGGCCTTGCCAGGCTGTTTTTGTGTTCCTAATTTTTTGCTATTTAAATTTAAAAACATGTGTTTTGTTTACATAAGGAATTCCTGAAGTGTGTGGAATCTACTACCTTATTTTTGGGTAGTCCTGTTTTGCTTCCTAATGGGGAGGCCATCAACTCCTTGAGTTTGCTAACGGAGGAACGATATAGAAAGCAGGACCCAAATACTTGCCACATGCCACAGTTAGCAAGAAACAAAACCCAGAAAGGGGTTGTGGGTGCAGAGGCAGATTCTCCCACACCTCCCGCACTAGATCGGAGTTTCAATCTGTATTTTTCTGTATAAGAGACTAATTCCCATTCACCCTTGAGGTGAGGAATAAACTGCTGCACTTCGGTGCATCAAAATCCTGCCATCAACCTCACCTGACTTCTTTACACATAATCCGCTTCTCATAATGATGGGTATTTTGTTAGTTTTCCTAATAAACAGCAGCTTAATAACCCACGTAGCTGAAGTCTTGCCCTCTCCACAATTCTGAATTCATAAAACCACCCTTGTCTGTTTTAACCCTAGTGGTGTGTGTGTGTGTGTACACTGGACTAGTCCAAGACAGTTAGTGCTTGAGGCAGGAAATCCAAATGGTTTGCTCCTTCTCCCTGGCACTGTGGATATAACAACAAATTGAGTGAAACACACCAAGTTTTAATAAAACCAGCTGGTCACCTTAGGCATTAATCTGAAGCATAACTAGACTTGCCATGCCTTTTTAAACAGATTGTAACAGAGATCTCAATAAATAAATAAATGCTCAGATATATATGCACTGGGCATAATCTACCGAAGTGGAACATTTTTAACCACCAGTGATATGAACCAGAGAATTTATGTGGATACTTGTATCTTTTTTCACTGAAATTGGTAGGAGTTAAAGGTGCTTAGCTTTCCTAGATTGTGGATAGAATGAATCTCTGTTTGCCATTAAGTACAACCTACCAAACCAAAAGTTCCTTCACAAAATGTTTAATCATGTTTCCCATTTTATGAAAAAGCAAAAAAAAAAAAAAGTATAAAAAAGGGTACCTGTGGACGATCTTATGACGATGCAAATGTTCTACTGCAGACATGATCTGCCTGGTATACTTCTTGACTTCCCTTTCTTCTAGTTTCTTTTTCTCACAGATCCTGTCCATGAGATCTCCTCCTAGGCACAGTTCCATCACCATGTAATAGGAGTTTTCTGTCTCCAAGGTTTCATACAGCTGAACAATATTAGGATGCTTAATCATCTGATGTATCCAAGGCTCCCGCTTCATATTTTTTAAAACATAGGAGTCTTGTTTGGCTTTTTTCTTGTCAATAACCTTTATGGCTACCTAAATCATAAAAATGTGATAAGTATGTATTTCATGATATCTACAATACCCATAATTTTAGCTGCACACACCTATTTTCAAAATATCAGGAAAAAGCACACACCTTACTTCCCATGCCCTTGATTACTGATCTTTTCTATAGATTCAATTGCATCAAGATGCAATTTTTCTTCTACCAAATTAAATTGTGTGGTTTTCATCCAATGAATCATATTTACAGTGCTCGTGGCATAAAATATCCCTTCATTTCTATTAGTATATCTAGTCCTATGCCCAAACATTTTTCTTGCACAGCACACAGGCAAATATCAGCTAAGTATTCCACCTTCCTAATTATATGATTATTTTAGGTAATGAATGAAACATTTCCCATGGAAATTGGACAAAGTATTCGTTAACATATTTGCTAAGACATAGATGCAAAGTGGTTTGAAATGTCCCAAGATTAACTGAACAAACATCACTAGTGTTATTAATGGAAAAATAGTAATGCCAATTAAGAGAAAACCCTTATATTCAACACAAAATTATACTGTACAGAATACAATCAACCAATTCCCCCACCCCCATCAAAGTCTGGTTCATTATAGCACATCAATACATTAATATTTTACCTTCTTTCACTTGGACATTGCTACTTCAGCTAACTAAAACACTTGGATTTGTGGATGAAGAAATAAGACTGAACTTCTGCAGCACATGCTGCTATTAGTAGCAAATGTGACTCCTAAGCACTCTCAATTTACCTTCTCCCCAGTGGGGATGTGTAACCCCTCCATCACTTTGGCAAAGGACCCCTTGTTGATTATTTTGCCCACTAGGTAATTCCCAACTTGTTTGGTGTGGGGAAAATTCTTTCTAGGTTCTTGGGACATCTTGCGGAAACAAACAGGTATCTGTATATCCTTATTGTTTTTCTCCCAGTCTAGAAATATCCTCTCTTGGTTTGCCGTCTCTGTCGCTCTGTCACCGGCAGCATCTTTGGTTGCTGCAGGCATCCTCGAAAGGCTCAGGCTGGCCAGCCCACCACTTCCTCCAGGCGAAGTTCCACTTTGCAGGTCCAACAATTCAGAATGCTTAGCAGATCCTCTGTCTTCACATGCTGGGGCACAATCACCAGGCCATTGACCATACGGTATTTAATCATCCTCCCTTGGAGGCTACTTTGTCATCACTGATCTCTATCTGCCTGCATGCAGCTCTGCTCAAGCAGAACCACGCGGGAGATTATTAACCTAACCTGATACATGATGTCAATTAATGCCCCAGAACTGACAGCTCCGATGTCACATAACAATCTTAAGGAATGCACGAGTGCTGGGCCAAAAGTCCACCTGCATTCTGGCAAGGACAGCCAGCTATTCGTGAAAAAGGGTTGTTGCGCCTCCTGTCCCCGGTGGCTGCCATGAGGAGAGGGGAAATTTCTGAGACATTGTTGACCTTACATATTAGGATGGAGTGGCTGTGGGTTTCCTTTGCTTTCTTTCTTTAATACTTTTATGAGAGAAAGAGAGAGAGGTCTTGCTGGAGATGCTCCACTGCAGCTTTCTGCATCAAATTAAGAAGTAATACCAACATAGTTTATGTTAATATACTGAAATAAACTTGGACCAGAACCCCAGTATAGAGGTAGGATTGAACCATGCTTTCCCACAACCCACAGCTTCACTGAGGAACAGATATCCAATTGCAGCAATGGGGCATTTTTTCTTAAGTGATATGCTGTGTGTGGGGGCCAGTGTGGATCAGGATTGTGGCTGGGGAGGGAAGGGTTAACCTTCCCCTCTGCCTGCACTGCAGCTATGACCCAAGCAGACTCTTCTGCACACCGCAGTGACCCCTTGATCACACAGGGCAAGAGTGGAGAGCCTTGGCCCCGCAGGCCACATCCAGGCTTCCTGGGTTCTAGTCTAGTTCTCCAGGTTCCCCCAAAGAGTCGCAGCCCTTCTCCTGGCTGCAGCCTCTTCAGCCCAACCATCCATGTTTTAGTGGTTTCCTGTCATTTGAGCAGCTTGTTCCCCCCTTCTGAAAAGCTGAAGTGCTTCTTTTGAGGCTCAGTTGCTGGCAGGAATATAATAAGCTACAATATAGTATTTTCTGGATTTTTGGCTCTGTGCCTATTACTTTTGGCCCTTGCCACCACTGGAATGTGCTCCCTAAAGCTAGAAGAGGCCAAAAGAGGTTCTATCAAGAGCCACTTCCATTTGGTTATTATAGCTACCATGTTCGGTATTATTATAGGTACTGCTATAGTTATTATTCATATCCTCATGAATTTGTGTAATGCCCATTGATGCCATCACCAGTGCAGATAAGACCCACAGTGGTGATGGCCACTAGAATCACTGGTATTTTACAACCCAGATAGGTCAGCTGAATCCCTTGACCTCTTTCCATGTTGCTGGTGAAGCCCAGTTGGCACTGTGTACGTTCCCCACTGCCCTCAGCTTCTGCTGGGGAACAGAGCACTGTCCCAGCAGCAAGGAAGGTCCAGTCCTGATCAGGAAGCTTTAATCTCATGCCTTCCCTGTGTTCCTGAGGTGCTTCAGATCTCTGCTTTCCCATGGTTAATAACAGCATTGAAGCCGCCATCTTGACCAGCACTGGTAGGAGAAGGAAGGCTTTAACCTCACTGCCTCTACCCCAGAGGTCCTAATCTCTGGAGGAAGAGGTTGTGTGTCTGCCTGCATGTGTGCTTGTGTGAACATGCATAGTGTTTATCACACTGTGTTGGGGTTGTCTGTGCATGTTTACCTGGAAGCTCCTTCCCTGTGGGAAGAAATTATGATAGGTACAGTCAAATGCACATGTCTCTAGCTTCTTGCTCATCCACCCGGCCTCTCTACACAAACAAACTCCTCCATCTTTCATATCCACAGATTTCTCCTGAGAGTAGTATGGTGAGCTAGAACACAATTTACACTGAAAAAAGAAGGACTGAATAATATTATTTTGCTGATGTGACCTTCTTCCATGCCACCTTTGCCCACCCTTTTGCTCCTCTCCTGAGTAAAAGAGAGAAATGGCAGGTGCAGAATTGTATCAGTTAATTAAAAGGAAAAGGAGAGGAAGCACAGCATAAAGCATAAATGACATATTTCAAAACACATTTTAAAATTAAGAGTGGAAGCTTCCTCACACACACACCATGACAAATGTAAAATATGATAGCCAGCTGAACTTACTGTTGTTATGGTTGGGGAAGAGCCCAACATCACACCTTGAAAAAAAAGTACATTAGATAGATTGCCAAATATTTTTAAAGCCCTTTTTTGTTTGGAAGAGGAGAGACTTCAAAAGGAACAAATAAAAAGGAACAAATGTGCCAAAAGCAGCAATACTTAACACTGGGGAGTATATTACACAGTGAATATAGTCCAGTTGATGTTGAAATGCTGCAGAGGAATCCTCCAGCCCAAAGGCAACACCTGCAGTGATTATATTATTTTAGGGAGAATCCCCCCACCTCTTTATGTATACATTAGTGCTGTGCCAGAAATGCATGTACACCTTTGCAACTTCTTCCATTTCCCTGTGAAAGAGTCAGTCATTGTTTTGCTTCTTTTGCAGTGTTTAAAGAATTACAGAGAAATTTTGCAGGGCACGAGGCTTCAGTGCTTACCTTCCTGTAAAAGGTGGCTGAGGAGATTCTCTGTGTTTTTTCACCCTTTTTCTCTCGTTCTTGTGGCATCTCTGGCTGCTTTTAAAAAGCCCTCAGAGGACTCCAAGGGGATGGGGATTTGCACTGGGCATGTCTGTTGTTGCTCCATGACGTCAAGTCATCTCTGGCTTAGGGTGACTGTATGCATGAGTGCCCTCCAAGATGCCTTGCCTTTGACTGCCCTGCTCAACTCTTCTAAACTCAAAGCTGTGGCTTCCTCTGTGGAATCCATCCATCTCATAGCTGGTCTTCATCTTCTGCCTTTGATTTTCCCCAGCTTGATTGTCTTCTCCAGTGAGTTGAACCTTCTAATGGTACAACCCACTGGGGTTTCTGGAGTATGACAGTTTCAGTTTCATCACTTCTGCTTCCAGGGAGCATTCTGGCATGATTTGATCTAGGACCCACTCGTTCTTCCTGTCAGTCCAAGGCATTCACAAAGCTGTCCTCCAGCACCATGCTTCAACTGCATCATTCTCCTCCCTGCCAGCTTTCTTCACTCTCCAACCTTTACACTCATACATAGTGATCGGGAGTACAATAGTGTGGATGATCTGGCCTTCGTCTCCAGTGAAATGATTTTACATTTGATTATCTTTTTTAGATTCTTCTTGGCTGTCCCGCTAAGACTATCCTCTTCTAATTTCTTGGCTGCAGTCTCCATTTGAATTGAGAATTGAACCAAAATCTTTCACAATTTCAGGTTCTGCATTGTTGACATTAAATTTGTGTAATTCTTCAATGGTCATGATTTGTGTTTTCTTTTTGCTGAAAAAGGCAGTACAGTGTTGGCTTTTGGGAAGCGGCTGTGAATTACTTTTTTTTTTCCTCCAGTGAAAGTGCACATAATGGATCTAAAGCAAACAAATAACAATAACACTTAAAAGGCCATTTCTCTGCAGATATCCCCTTTCCAGCTCCTCCTACTCCCCCCAGTTGCATTTGTGTGTGACACAAGACCATTTTTTCAACACAGTGGAAACTGCACAGCTTCCATCAGCATGTGCTGAATGCTGACAAAGCACTCCTGGAGAAAATGAAGGGACTCGGGCCCTTGAGGATTTCCTCTGTTGCTGCCTGCAGCCTGCTGAAACCCAAGCAAGGAGTTCTTCTCCCTCTTGTTTAAAAGACGTTTAACGACATAAAATCAAAAATGCCTTGCTTATTTTTCACATGCTCCGGGGCAAGCACTGGGGCTCCCCAAGGAAGGGCGTCCTAGTTTAGTCCTCTGGAGGCTTTTCAGAAAGTGGGAGCAGCCAGAGAGGCTGCAAGGACAGAACCAGATAAACAGTATAGAATAGAAAGTCCCTCAGCTACCTCCTTACAGTAAGGCCCTGCAGCCTGAGAAATTTCTCTGAAATCCTTACCTCAGCCCACCATGTTTGGATTGATTTTCTTCTCTATATCAAATGATGGAAAACAAATAAAAGGAAAAATTTGGCAGAGTAGTAAATACACAGACACCTTCCAGGGTAAAAAGTCCTTCCAAAGCAGCTCACATACAAACTTAAAACAGAAAAGACAATCCAAAGTCAACCAATTAACAATTATAGAGCTCCTAAGTCAACCATCTAAAAGGTGTTGGGTACCTATTTCATTTTTTTCTTCTTTATTGATTTTTACTGGTAAGGTGGGGAAAAGGAGGAGACACAATGGGGAAATACAGAAAGGGCTGCAAATCAAAGACAATGCTTGGAACATGTAAAAAGTCCATGTTTGTGGTGGGCTGATCACTGGACAAAAACAAACAAAACCTAACAAAAATATCACAACATTTTTCCCAATCCACTGCAGCAGTCTTTTCCACTCTGCAGTCTGGTCTTTCCTTCATATGCGTTTGATTACAATTCCCATTACCTTAGGGTAATGGGAGTTGAGGTCCAACAGAACTTTCTCAGTGCTCAGTTAGGAAAGGCAGTGCTTTTAAACCAGTTTGGCAATCTTTCCTCATCCCCAAGGTACACTTGGGTTGGATTGTACTTCTGTAAGTGGGGCTAGGGATCCATAAGACAGAAATTCTTGGAGTCCCCATGATACTGGGATTCCTAAAATGTTTGGAAAAGAATGATAGGTTTCCTCCAAAAGAGAAATACTTTGAATAGAAGAGCTGCCCTGGAAACACACCGATTGGGGTTTGCACTTCATAGTCTTCCCCCCAGAATCAGGGAAGCGAATATGGTTCTAAATATTTGGGCAGAAAGCCAGCAGGGTGATGCATGGTTGAAGATGTATTGACATCAAGCATCTCCAAATTGCAGGGTATACACATAGTTTACATTTTATTTTTCATTCACTCTGCTAATCATCATTTCTCCCCTCCTGTTAACATTGGGTGCT